AAACCCCTAGATAATGTGTATACTAAACTGATAAATTAGTACTTCAGTGACTCATGAAAAAATTGAACAGGAAAGTAATGTATATTTGTGCTTTCTTGTTTAATTAGTACATGTTCATAGCAGTTCATTGAGGATATTTGTGCCAAGAAGGGATTATCTTGATTGTAGGCTATAGGTAAAATTTTTGTGGAAAAACGTAACAGTATATCTATAGTAATTTTTTATACTGAATTCTTTCCCTTATCACTGAAGAAAGGTACATGTTGTTACTCCCTTCTTTTTTGTTATTGTTGTTGGTGGCGGTTATATTAAAGATCAAGTCATTAAAATTCTAAATAAAGTTGCTTGTTAGAAAAGATTGAACCTCTTACTGGTGTTACGTAAGAGGAACGTCCTCTCCAAATGTTAAGGAGCGGTGCCAGATTTTGTGAGCTCTTGTTGTGTGATATTCCTTGACAGGTATTCTCTTATTGAGCATTTAAATTTTAGGAGTCATAAATGTAAGGCTTTTAAAAAACTTTTCTTGGACAGAAGTAATCCTGTATAGAAAACTCATTACAAAATCATTTTGCATGACCATTTAATGTTGCAGATTACATTGCGAATCTTGGTAGGCTTATTGTTTTGACAATAAAGATGTATCTTTCTTTAGGCAGTAGAGAAAATTTGTGAACTATTTTAAATAATAATGATTAGCTATCATCATAACAGCCGTTGCTCAGGCATTTTTACTTTATTGATCAATTTAACATAATCACTTCCATATGAGATTCAGTGCCCTCACTCTGTGAGGAAACTAATGCTTAACCGATCTTCCCAGAAATGTAGCTATCAGGTGATAGAATTGAGATTCTTAAGCCTATACATTTATCACCATGGAGGATATCATTTAAAGAAGTTTCTTGACTAATGTTTGATTAAACAGGGCATCAGCAAGAAGCAAAAACTTTTGTAGTATGGAGGATTTTGTATTTCAAAATACACATCAAAATAGCTTGGGAAAAATGACTTCATTTGACTTCTTTAATTTTTAGTTGTTGGTTTAGCACTCACACATGCACATATGTATACATATACATATTTGAAGCATTTAATAGGAGATAAAATCAGAAAAGGGACATACTAGGTTTCATCAGTCCTTACAGCCTACAAAATATTATAGTCTCATTTATTAAACAATATTATTAAAATACTGTCAGTCTTGTTTATGGAAATTTTTTTGACAATGCAAATAACCTATAGTTTATATAATCATTCTTGATTTGTGTTTTTAGAGGGAAATATGAGTTTCTTCAAATTATACTTATTTTTAAAGTGACCTAAAGCTTTGTTGTTAGGACTTGATAGAAATAAAAGACAGTGTCAGTCACCTGGTGACAGATGGGCTTTTGAGCATATTTGGTAGAATTCTGTGCTAGTCACTGTGAGGGAGTTTAAGGTCTGTCCACTGCAATGTGGTTGAACATGCTTCATAAATATTTTTGTGGAGTGGTCTGTGTCAGGCTGCTTTCTTGCAGAACACTTTGAAGAGTGCAAGATGGCTGCCTCTGGGTAGATCAATATGTTTCTTACTTTGTGTGTGTGTGATGTATATACTTTCGTACATTTAAAACTCTTTCAAAATCATTTTTGGGGGTATAAAAACATGACAGAATCATGGATTTAACTTGGAATTTTATTAATACCATTTCTTTTGAGCTTTTTTATAAACACTTGGACCTCTAGTCAAACCTGTTAAACCAGAACTTGCTCTTCTCTTACCTTCTTCCAGCTGAATGTGCTGAATCTTAGTGGTCATCAAGGTCTGAATCAGCTGGTGATTCTCCAGAATGTGGCTGATTGAATTACAGAGGCAGAATTCTAAGTTCAAGGCCAGCCTGGGAAGCTTACCAACTTAAAAGATCTTATTTCCTAAATAAGTGGATAGGTGGGTGGATGGATGGATGGACCAGGCAGACAGACTGGGGATGTACAAAGGCCCTAGGTTCCCCAGCAGTCTTCTACACACACACACACATGTGCGCATTCTCTCTCATCTCTCTCTCTCTCTCTCTCTCTCTCTCTCTCTCTCTGACTCACTCTTGCTCTCTCTCTCTCTCTCTCTCTCGCTCTGGCTCTCGCTCTCGCTCTCATTTTTTCTGATGATTGGCAATTGTGGAATTCCTTGTGTATGGGTAACAACAACACACACACACACACACACACACACACAAAGATGCTTCTTGCAACAGATTGGTCAAGTTTAGTGGAGATAGTTTGGAGAGATCACCACTGGCCTCCCTTGGTGTCCCAGTTAATATCACTCTCAGCAAATCAAGAAATCAATAACAGATACTGGAGAGGCTGTAGGGGAGAAAGAATCCTTCTCCACTGTTTGTGGGAGTACAGACTGGTGCAACCACTGTAGAAATCAGTGTAGAGATTCCTCAAGAAACTAGGAGTAGAGGTTCCATTTGACCTAGCTATTTCCTTTCTGAGTATTTTTCCAGAAGAATGAAAAACATCATACCACAGCGATATCTGTGCACCTATGTTTGCAGTAGCACTGCTTGTAATAGCTGAATCTTGTAAACAACCCAAATGCCTATCAGCAGAAGAATGGATAAAAAAGATGTGGTATTTTTAATCTATGGAGTACTGTTCAGCTACAAAGAAGGATAAACTCAAAGCTTTCATAGGTAAATGTATGCAGTTTGAGACCATACTCATAAGTGAAATCTCCCTAGTGTAAAAAAACGAAAGTGTACATGAGATACAAAATCTACAGAAGATGGGAAAGGGAAAGAAACTGCTCAAAAGGGAAGAACAACTGAGATGTGGGAAAGGAGAAAATTATGTGTATACATACGATAGATAAGGTAATTATACTGTTAATCTACCAACAGTTTTGTGATTTCATTGTTTGATCAATTTTTCATGTCTATATATGAGCAACTACTTTGAAGATAACAATATGCAATATATTAACCATTGTTAATCTCTTATTTTCATGTTTTGAAATTCTGTATCATTTTTTCTTCTTTTTAACATAAAAAAATCACTCTCATAAATAGCTCTGGCAGAGTGGCTTCTTCAGGTCCAGTGCAGCGTGTACTGGTCAGGCAGAATGGCAAATTAGCAATCTCTGCTCACTCTAGTAAGACCTTATTTTTGGCTCCCAAATGGTTTCCAGAGCTATCAAAATAATACCATTTGCAGGCACTTTTCATGGTTAAAAAGAGCAACTTGGAGAGGAAAAGGAGTACTCTTTGGGCCCTCGGAGAACTGTTTTACAGCTGGGCATTGCACATAAATGCTAACTGAATTCCCTTTCAGTTGTGTAATTTGCCATTGGGGCTCTTCCATGGAAGAGCCACTCAACAGAAATGAAGAGTACCTCACACAGACATTTGTGCTTGTAAACCAACTCTTCTTTGTGGGCTTCAAACAGCAATGTGTAGTAGGACATTGTACTATAATTCTCAAGTAAGTCTTGTGGTGGTGAATGGTTTGTTGCTGCCTGCTGTTCATTAGGAGAGCCAGTCTGGCTCTTTTCCTGCAGAGTAAGTGGTAGATTGTTGACACCTGTTTTCCCATCCAGCTAGAGGATGTGAAGTGTTTATTAGGAATGCCTGAAAGTGCTTCCTTGTGTCCACATAGGCAGAGCTTGCTGCTACTTAGGGAGAAGAGGAGAGTGGAAGGGCATTCCTGGGAAGGGAGATGAAAAAGTGGCAAGAAACTGCAGTATAAACTAAACCGAGATTCTCATCCTCGTTTAACAGCTTCTGATTGTGCTTTTAGCTCTTGCTCTGATTTGATCCCTCATTGAGCAAAGGAAAATGAATACATGTTCTACCCAGGGGGAGACCTCAGATATTTCCAAATAACACAAGTATATAGTCGAGACATTAGAAATGGGTAGAAATATTCACTCTTACACTCAAGAGTATCAATATTAAGTTATTTAAAAGTAAATTTGCCCCTAAATAAAGTTCAAAGATTTTGCATACTTCTATCTGCTCTAACCTATCTTTACCATAAAGTGTCTCATAAAAAGTAGCACACAGTGGAACAGAGGGTCTTATGTCTGCTGTTAGCCACTGATAAGTGGTACCTGCTTATTCAGTGTATTATTCCAAGTATGAGTGGAAAACAACAAGCACCAGGCAGACCCTGATTGATTACATGCTGTCTGTCTCCTGTCTGACTGGGAGACAATATCCAGTGGAGCAGCCTATGGAGTAAGAGTGTGTTGCATACAGTGTATTGCATCGTGTCTAACCTGGTATGTCTTCAGTAGGCTTGGAGAAAACAGAGCCAAGTGTAGTGTGTCAAGAGGATGACTGTAGAGCTTGTGTGTGTTAAAGGATGAGGTGAATTCACTGAGCATAAGAGGTTGAAGTGTGTGAATGATACTTTTCCATTGCCATTCAGTGTGTGTGTGTGTGTGTGTGTGTGTGTGTGTGTGCGCGCGTGTGTACAGAGTGGCAACATTTTTGCCTGACTCATTTGTGGAACTTGGCTGATTCTCAGGAATATTGGCTTCCACTTGTGAACTGTGTGCAGGGTTAGGGTTAGGTCATGGCCTTGGACCAGAGTAAAATCAACTAGCTCATAATGTGATTGAACTGATGACCTTAATCATATTACCACTGTGTTTTAACCAGTTGAGTCAATCAAACATTGCCGAAAAAGTGATTAAGATTAGAGAGGGATCTACGTAGCCGTAAACAGGAATGAAATCAAAGCCAAGTCCTAACCTCAGATAACACGTAGGTGTTTATCTATTTATCTTAAGGTTTTATGCTTGTTTTTATATCTAATAATAAGGTGAACAAAACAGAAAGGACACCATGAGTCTCCTGTGATAGTTCTTGATATCATGAAATACGTAATCATTTTTCTTGCACAGTGTCACCGTGCTTTTGCCGAGTCTGCGTTGACAAACGATATTGTTTTCGATTTTAGATGTGTAGTGTCCCATAAATTTATTGATGATGCCTTTCTCTTCTTCTCTAAAGTCCGAGCAACCCAGTCCTGCCAGTTCCAGCTCCAGCTCCAGCTCCAGCTTCACACCGTCCCAGACCAGGCAACAAGGTATCAAAAGCTCCCAGGCAAACTAGGAGACATTTTTCTCATAAAACATCTTAATGAATTGATTTATGGCCTATCTTCTCCTGTGTTATTATTTGAATGATAACTTGGCTTTTATGCAGTTGCATTTATTTCCCCAAGGAATGCACTTGAGTATTGTTCTGATCTACAAGGCCGGCTCTTGAAATTCCCCCTCTCCAGCGCCTTCCATCAGATTCCCATTTTACAAAAGGATTATAGACACAGCCCATTCCAGGGAGTTCCCAGAGGAAATACAATAGTTAAAGCTGGACTTTGGAGGCTTTGATGAAGAGAAATACGTTTTTGCTTTTCCTCTTTGAATAGTTTTCATTTTTTGATTGTTCTGCAGATAAGTAGAACCTTGTTTTTAAAAGCAAGTTGATAAAATATATTGATAAAATATATTTCCTTAAAATATGTATTTTTTTAAATATATTTTCTTCTGTTCATGATCAAGTGTTAATCTAAATTCAGAATAAAGAAAATTAAACTGGCACATGTAACTAACTTTTTTTTTGACGTATTTCTCTAAACTTTAACTACGGGCTTTTTCTAATTTTTACAAAAAATCATTCAGTGTCAAATAGTTTGTTGAGGATCATAATGAGCCTCACCTTTCATTGACTACAACTGAATTCTTAATGGCCTTGAATGTTTAAATCATTGTATGTGTTTGGACTAAGGTTAAGTTTCCAAAATAAATAAATAAATAAAATACAGTGACAGTTTGGGCTATTTCACAAACCTTGTTCCACTGACTGCTGAAGATATAAGCCCACTACAAAACCAGAGAAATTTGTAGTTTGCCAAGTGAAGATTGCAGGATGTAGACATGTCTTTCAGCACTGGGTTCGTGAGAGCTCAGATACTCCTGCCATAGATTACACTTTAGGTAATGCCTAACCCAGAATGAAGCTACCTCTCTTAATTCATTTTCTTTACAATCTCTTAAGGTTGATTTCATCACATTTGAGTAATGAAATGGAAAAATGCATAAATGAGTGTGTGTGTTCAGTTCTGCCTTATTCTAAGTTGAACTTAGTTATAGGGGAATTTTTTTCCGGCTAATACTGAGTACTCTTTTGGATTTTCTGTGCACTGAGTTTTACCACAAATTTCTTAAAAAAAATAAAATGAAGATTTGGTAAATAAAATTGTTGTGGCAAGACTTTCTGTCCAAGATCTATATGAAGATCAGAAATAGGACATCATACCATGGAATTGAAATACTTTATAATCTGAACTTGACTGAACTGCTTGCTTGACCTGAAATTGACCTTGAAATAAAAGCAACAGCTAGACCTTAATAGATCAAAAACTACCACACAAAGGCTGCACTGCCATGAACAAGTTACTACCACAATGATTTATTAATCTCAGCTTTTCAATACATGGATTAACTTAACAAAACTTCCAATTTACTAGTCAATCTTTCTGTTTCTTTTTACATATAGTTTTTCTTAGAGAAGAAAAATACATAGAAAAAGCCTGTGTAGTAGATTCTTTAATGAGTGGTTAGGTATAGGATGCACTGAAGAAATACAAATTTTTGTACCAACTTTTGTTGCAAGTAGAGGATAGTGGTTAGTTTTAATCAGTATTCAGTACAGCAAGCGTTCCCATGTCTAATATGGTGAAGTGTGTTTGAAATAGTATGTTTGATTGCCTGTGGTTCACTGTCATTGATCAGGTCCCTTAAGGTCTATAATGAAAGATCTGCATTCTGATGACAATGAGGAGGAATCGGATGAGGCAGAGGATAATGACAATGACTCTGAAATGGAAAGACCTGTAAATAGAGGAGGCAGCCGAAGCCGCAGGTGAGTGCATTGGAAGGAGAGAGGTTCTCTGGGAAGGAGTCAAGCCTTTTCAGTTACAGTAAATGTGAGATACCAGTAATAGCAGCAGTAGGTTTTTATACTTATTTAAAACCAGGGCACTTAGCAAGCTTACAATCACCTTTCACGGGGAACTATTTTTCTCTTTTCTCAGAATCTTCTAAGACATTAGAGGAAAAAGTCACTGCAGAAGTTCTTGTGGTTTGAAGGTAGTAGGACTGATGGCTAAACTAGTCTATTTTCATGTGAAGAATTTGTACAGATCTGCTGCTGGAGGTAGTCTCAGAATGAAGAAATGTGTTTGCTGTTTATGGTTAGAATACATAATTGGTTCTGGTGAATTATGTGTGTGACCTAATTAAAATTAGGATCACCTGTGTGTGTTTTCCAGAAACTAAATTCCTTTTAAGTGTGCTGACAATTAGGTTCCTTAAGTAGCTTTAGTACTGTGAGGCATAATTCCACATTATAAGATGGTAATTCATGTCACTTATAATTAATAGTCAACTTGAAATTGCCTTGAGGATTTCATTTCTTTATCATGAGGAAAACAAATAGGCATGCTCATTTTAATGTGTTTTGAGTAGAAAAAAATATGAATCTACTTGAACTTAAAATCCAATTACATTTATAATATATTGCATTAAGTCTTTCCCCCATTATCCATAACTGTTTAGTTGGCCCTGAAATTCCTAGAAAGAATACATTCTTTACCTAAACCTGAGGGACACTGCTTCCTAATTGGCAATTCCTTAATGTCATTTGAGAAGAGCCTCTCTGTGGTACACACCCTGTCAGATGTCTCAATGACTGCACCTGTGGCATATTCAGCACTTCTGTCTCCACTTTGTCCCAAACTCACAGGACCCTTTACAGTATTGGCCTTGAACACTTCTCTCTAAAAATATTTCTTCTGACAAGGAAGAAGCTAGTTGGGGCTGGGGGACACTAAAAATGGGACTGAAACCTGGAATTAAAGAACACAATTAGCCCAATAAAATCTTGACCGTTGGCTGCTTTCTAGTTTTGCTGCTCAAAACATGCATGACTTAGTCTCACAAATTGTTGTTCAGATCTGGGTGTTCTGTGATTAGTGGCCTCCGCCACTTTCCATCCCATCTGCTGTCAGAAGGGTCAGATCTTACATGCTGATGAGTTGAATGAGGTAGATACATTGATGGGGACACTTTACCGCTTAACTGTGTTGTTAGCACAGTGGTTCCGGTGTAACATTTGATCTCCTTTGCACTTGTGAGATCTCAGCTGTTTAATCAGTTTAAATACTCAGCCTTCCACTCCAGTTGTGAAGCATTTTAAAGCAGCGCTTCAAATGAACACTTCATTAATGTAATTTTGTTAAGAAAACAAGTTCCATAAGTTTTTGCAATAAGAATGTCCTAGTGTATCTTTTTCGTTTTCTATCTTGTACCTTGTCTATCTGAGTATGTAAGACAGCCAGAATGTGATTGCCTATTCAGAGAGATTTCTAAACTCTTTTCTGTCTCTGGGAATATTATATTAGGTTACTGTATAACCAGAGAGTGGGAGCAAACACTGAAGCACTCTTCTAAAGGAGAGCATGCATTCAGTAGCGAAGAATAAAGAACTGTCTACTCTCTGGAAGAAAATTCCATTTCATTCTGAAAAGAAAAATATAGGAGGTGGTGGTATTTTTGTTTTTAGTTGTTGAAAGATAGTTTCATTTCTGAAGCAGTGATCCCAAATGCACTGTTTCTTTGTGTTGTTGTTTATTTCCAACTAATTGCTGTATCAGTGGTCAGACTTGAAAGTTGTTACAGAACTGATTGGTGGCTCTGGGATATCAGGCTTCACACTCATCAGTGCAGTGCGGTAGCTGAGCAATTGATTTGGGCCACCTTGCTTGGGTTTGAATGCTAGAGCCACTGTTTTTAATTGTGTGACCAATCTGTCTACATCATAGTTTATGCACCTGTGAAATAGGAGATCATTAAAAGAGAAGTAGCAGGGGAACCACTTAATATGGCTCCAGGTACAAAGTAATTGCTAATACATGTCAGTGTTGTGGACATGTAGTTAGTGTTTGAATTCTTTGCCTGTTTGTAGTGATGTGTGTGTGACTTTACTTTTTTTCAGAGTTAGCTTGAGTGATGGCAGTGATAGTGAAAGCAGTTCTGCTTCTTCACCCCTACATCATGAACCTCCACCACCATTATTAAAAACCAACAACAACCAGGTAAATTGTGGTGTTTGCATTTTTCAAGACTGCAGAACTAGAAGTAATCATTTTATACTGCATACAAACTTTTCTTTTTCTTTCCTCTTTTATCATTTTTTTTCAATTTTAATTTTTTTACTAGTACATGTTTGCAGTGCATAATGATTGCTTTCCTCTTGGGGAGTTGCTGCATGTACATAACACATCTTAATTTCTTTTCATCCCTTTCCTTCCCCTTCTTCCCCCTCTCCATCTCTTGATCCTCTTGCCTTTTGCAAAAGATCTATCTCCCTATTTCCTATTATCTACTTTTTATTTTGTTCTTTATATTTTGGGTTTCTCATATAAGAGAAATCACTGCATACAGATTTGTATCTCAACATTAAACAAACTGCCTCTTGATGTCAAATAAATGGGAAATAACAGTCTTAGGAATAAACGCAAGATAAAAGAAGTTTTGTTGTTATGAGAAGATGATGTGTTCCACTGGATAGTTACGTAGGTGCTAAAAAGAGTGGTGGCAAAAAGTATTGCCCATGCACTGTTGAGTTTTATGTATTTTATGCTTAGCAGTAAGTAGGTGACTTCATTAGAAAGAATATAATATTTGGGGCTAGTAAAAGCCCAGGTCTTTGCTTTACTACTGGTAATTTACCAGGTGAAAATTAATTTTCGGACCCCTAATTTCTTCATTTCCATGTAACATGCCTACCTTTCAGGTGATTAGAAAGATAATGAATAATATATGTAAAGATCATGAGGTAGTACACAAACCTTCTTGGCACTTAGATGATGGTAGATGTTCATTACAGTGCTGTGTCTATTTTTTCATCCAGGAAAAAAAGGATCATCACGTTGGTTTGTAAGGAATAATTAATAAAATGCTGAGAATATAGTGCTATCATTGTTATAAACTGAGCTACATGAAAGCTAATTAATTTGACAGTCAATTGAGAACATAGTTGTTTGGATAAGGTCTAAGCAGAACTTCGAAGGCCATAATGAAGTGCCTTGGTAAATAAATGGGTGATTGAGATATTTTTATTACTCAGTAACATCAACCGTTTCCAAATATCATTAGTATTGTAAAGGTCTCATTGTACATTAAATTGACACTCATTACTGTAAGGTATTCTTGTCTTTTTATTTAGGCAGACTTGCTGTGACTTCTATAGCAATTGCTTAATTCAACTACTATAGAAATATTACAAATTAAAGAATGACATTTTCCTAAAATTATTGTTTTCGTAAGTGTCCTACAATTTTAAATAATCTTGCCCTTGAGTTTATAATCTCTTTTATTAGTTGAAAAGTCTATTTTGTAACTGGAGGCTTGCTTTATACATTTTATATACAACATAAGCAAAGCTCTCTTAATGTTTAAGATTCCTCATTTATAAAGTTTGCCTGGGACTTTAGTCCTCCTTTGTTAAGAGGGATGGTAGTGCTCCTTACTGCGCCAGGTACAGGTTGCCTGTGGTTTGTCTTAGAGAGGACCGGAAGCCCAGCATCCTGGCTCTGCTGCCCAGGTCCTCCCCATTGCAGACCAGCCATGTCTCTCTGCGATGGCTGCCTTCCACCACAGTTTTTAACATTTCAAAAGTAAAATCAAGCAAAGTGAAAAGTGGAGGAGCATGAACATTGTGGCCAATCAGTTGAAAACACTAGGGTGACTAAATAGGTAAGTTTGGATTCTTTTGTAAACTTGTGCTTCATTAAGACCTGACCAAACCATGGAATGTGGACCGTGCCTGTATTTTACATTCATATAAGACTCATTTAGGCCTGATTTCTGCCTGCAGGTGATGAGCTATCAAAATTGGGGTTGGGCAGTAACAGTGCTAGAACAGGAACATTGGCTGGTGTGTCCTCAGCAGCTTCCTTCAGCATCTCTCCAGTCCCTGAAGTTAGGGCTTGCTGAGGAAATGCCACCCCAACAAGTTCTTATCTTGACCCCACAAACCCTTTCTTCACAGGCAATCTTGAGTGGTCCCTGGCTTTAGAGAAAAGATTGTCAACTCTTTTTTAAAAAAATCTGTGTAGCAGAACAAAGCCCAAAACAGTATTATGCAGCTGGAGACGATAAAGATGCTGCATCTGTTTTGATAGCATGCCTCTTTTTCTTGGGTTTATTTGACAAACATAGCTTCATACATGTGAATCATCAGTCTTCCAATACAACTCACTTATGTGTTACTTTCTCTGTGTACCTAAAAGCATAATAAGAGTCATATGCTTTGTCACTTTCAGCGAAGTTTGACTAGGAAGTTTCTGTAGCATAGGAATGCTTACTTCCTCAGCTGTAGGTAATGCCGCCAAACAAGTAAGAAAAGGTTTCGAAAACTTTGTCCAATAAGGATTTATTAAACCCTCAGATCACCTTCGTTCAGTTAGGTATGGTGCTATTCAGAGACTTTCAAAACAATTACTAGTATGTTTTATGATTGTTTTCTGTGCTGATTGAGTAAGATAGAAAAATTTCTTAGAAACCTAAAGATCACTTAAATTTCACTCTGGAATTCCTCTTTATCTTATGTTTGGATGTGTGAGAGAGCGTGGAATGGTGGGGGGGGTGTCTGAAATTTCACATTAAACAAAACAGACAGAATCATACAGGGAAGGTATAATTCCAAAGTGGGAAACTTCTGAGATTCATTCCCCCATGCTGCTTGACAGCTCTCTTCCTGCAGTTGATGATTATCTCCTAAGTTTCTGTAACGTATAAGACACAGCTGAATTCTCTGTTGCTTTTTCTCAAGTCTTCCAAGGACTAAGGAAAGGGAAAAGTGCTAATTGAACCAAATATGTTCTAACTGTACTGAAATAAAGTGAACAGAGAGCTACATGTCAACAAGCCAAGTAATTAACCTGAGTATTATGAGAAGCTACTGATGATCATTAACATGAAAAATCTACCAATGGAGAATCCATCTGCTGAATAATTGAGTTGTCATTGCTCACAAAGGGATATAGAAAAATATAATCTTGAAATTTTGATTCTCAGGCTATATCCTCAGATTAAGGACAGAAGAACTACTAATTATAACTATCCTGTTTCACAGATTACCATATCAGCAGTTCATCTCAGCAGTCTGGGTGCCTGTGTTCCCCTCAATATTGTTTAATAGGAAATAAAGAGTATTGTACCATTTAAACAAGAGATGACTTTTTTTCATTCCAGACCTCCCTTGTGTGATTTTTTTTTTTTTTTTTTTTTTCTTTTTTGGTATCCAGAATCAAATTCAGGACCTTTCACTTGCCAGGGAGGTGCTATGCCACTGAGCTATATCTCTGACCCATGAATTTTTAAATAAAAACAAAATACTGGGTCATTTTAAACCAAGAGTATGTAATAGCAAGGGTGAAGAAGTGAGAGAAATCTAAAGGAAGGAAGTGATCTATTATGCCTGAGGTAAATACTTAGAATATCATAAATCACGCATCAGCCTGCCAGTCTTATTGAATGGAATTAAGAGTCTATCCAGTTAAACTGGTTTGAAATAAACCTGTGGAAGACAAGGTGTTGTACTTTTACATTCTGGAGTCGTTTTCCTAAAGATAAGAAATGATCATAAATAAAACAATTGTCTTTAACATGGCTCAGCTCTCTCCGAGTGAGGTTTTGACAAAGCTGTTTATTTTGGAGCGGGGAGAGATCAAAGCAGGAAGATTAACTGAGCCCTCTCTGGGCAGCCACTCAGTAACTGGAGGTCGGTCACTGACACCCGGAGCTTTTGTTCCTGCCATTGCAGCCTCAGAAGAAAGAAACTAGGATTTCAATGTATTTTGGCCTTCTGTGCTGCAGCATTTAGGGAATGTGTGGGGCGGGACTTCAGTGCCCCAGTGTTCTGTTTTCTGCTTTGAAGAGAAGGTGGACTCCAAACAGTAAAATTTCATTGCAAATATAGTGACCTGAGTCACTTTTTCCCCAGAGTGCAGGGCTAGGGACTGGGAACATGAGAAAAGGTGGACTGCAATGGGAACAAAATTCAGTTCTCCAGTGCACAAGGCATGCTGGCGGGCGCTGTATTTTTCCTCTTGCCGGAAGCCTCTGCATCACCCAGCCAAGTGTCTGTGTTGGCGAGGAGCGCCATCTACCGACCTGCTTACTCCTAGGTCTCTCTGAATGCTGATTTTCCCCGACGCCTCCTTAACAGTAGAGAGGAGGAAATTCTGGATGTAGTGGGATGTTGGTTTCCTTCATATCATTAAAAATGATTGCCTTGTCTCTGCTATTCAGTGATTTATTTGTGTTGCTCAAAGTATTGTAGTCAAATCAGGTATTTGGTTATCTTAATGTTAAAATGAAGAAATAAGTGTTAATCTCAGGAAAGAATATTAGAAGCACACTTCTGTCTCATGCATTATTCTCAACTTAGAAATATTTGCTCTTTTCCATAATGTCATGGTCCTATTCTCAATAAGTAAGATGAATATTAATAGATAGCATAAAAATTTGAAACTGAATTGAGAATCTGAGTTCAGCTCTCTCATTTCATCTTTTAAGACCCCAAAAACATTAAATAGGAATAGGACCAGAATTTAGACTGTAGGCCCAATGCTCTGCCCTTACCATTGCAAATTGAAAGTAGTTTCATTCTTAAAATCTATATGTTATGGAGCAAACACTATGAGCAAAGCTGTCACTAGGTAAGAGCAGGGAATGGTAAGGAGCAGTTGTAGGACTAGGACTCCTTACAGTAAATCCTTTGCATGGCATCTTTTTCTTTAATGTCAGTCTCTGTTTATAATGTGGCAATGAAGTTTTAGTGAGAAAGACAAATCGTCTTGCTTTTTATGTTTATGCAGCCTTGTAAAGACTTCATCATTAATAATGTTCTATTCCTAAACCTTTTACAGTGAGGGACATTTTAAAGTGTTTCCCTCAGAATCCTTAATTTTGAAGATCCTTTCCAGTAAATCAGTTGTATTTAGTAAATATTTTTCTCCTTTTTACTAATTAGAATCATAGCTCTCAGAGCTTCTATACTATGTAGAATGGTTCATAACTTAAACTGCATTTGAGCCAGATTACAATGACATCTTACCATGAATAATCTCCTAATTTCTCAAAATACAGGCTGTAGTCTTACCTCTGTATTTCTGGAGTTGGAGGAGCCCAGTTGAAGAGAAAGTGGTGGACTCTCTCTCAGTGTAACTGATGGCCACTTTCAATTACAAAGCTGCATTGGTTTAGTGGATATGAGTGACTATAAAATCTCAAAGTCAGGTACTACAAAGGGCATTTGAGGGTTTGTTTTTATCTTCCCTAGCCTACTTAGCACTGAAGTCATGCTGAACCAGCAGAATGAATAGGAAAAAAATCTTGCCAGAAGGGACTGTAATCTCAGAATAACTCAGCTGCTGTACATATGTGTGAGAGTGTTGTCACAAGAGAGAAGCAGCCTTAGAAGCTTAGACCAATTTCCTTATTATCAACTGTTTTTTAAAGTGGTTTACTTTGACTCAGCATTTCACTTACAAGTAATATATTGTCCAAGAGAAAGTAAGATTAGAAGAAAAATGTATAGAGAGGAAATGCTACTTGGAAAACACGGTTATTGTCCAACATTTCATTCAGTGAATGCCATTGTTTATGTGGGTGGCAACTACCAGGTGCTTGAAATAAAATTTAACACAGTGTTCTCTTTGATCCCTAGATTCTTGAAGTGAAAAGTCCAATAAAGCAAAGCAAATCAGATAAGCAAATAAAGAATGGTGAATGCGACAAGGTAAGTTTGCAGTCCATTGTTGTTCGTGCTGCCGCAGTCACAGAGCTTCTTCATTTCTTTGTGTTTCCCTGGGTCACCCTTGCTGGCTTGCCTTCCATTTGCTTTATCAAAAATGCCCAAGATTCCTAAGCAATGCATACGTCATCCCTGTGATTTATAGTTTATCTTCCTTGTCTTGCTTCAGTATTAAGGTTGGCTTTATGTTAACATTTGCATGGTGCCTACAATTGCAAGGGATTTAAGGGACACTAAGTTGGGAGGTAAGATTGTAGTAGACGTAACCAGTTAAGGAATGACAGATGGAGATGCACAAGACATCTGAGCCTGGTGTGGTGTGCTTTCCCAAGATGTGCATCATGCACTTGAAATCTGACTGCAACTCCTGGTGGGGTTGAAATCATCCAGTGTGGGCAGGGCCATAGTGTGTTTTGCAGAGACAGGGCAAAACTCTAATGCTTCACAAATCTTTCCCTTGCCTGAATTGAGCCTAGGTCTAGAGGTACCCATGCAGTTATGCTAACAAAGACATGAGTCTGAGTATGTGGAAAGAGCAGTGACCCCTGTGCTCTTTCAGGGAGCTCTCCACAGACCAGATGCTAATTTGGATAGTAAATTTTGTTTTTTATATGGTATTATTTTATTTTTTAGTCACTTGCTAGCATTGTTTACTAGCAGTGCTTAGTATAACCAGGAAGTGTGCATCCTTTTAAGAGTTAGACATAATTGGTGATATGCAATGATACTTCCATGTTTAAACGTAATCTTTTTTCTTAATCAAAAACTTTCTGAGATCAAAGAATTAAAAATTAAACTCACACTATAGCACTGAAATCCCCCCACATACCCACACACCTCAAAGAGGCCTTGTTGTGGAAAGGTGAGTCATTTATGCAAATTTTGTTAAGAGCAAATTGTACGGGAATTCCCCTCCCATCCTCATTCTGAAGCCAGCTTTCTAAAGAAAAAGATATAGTCAGGTAGAGATGGTAGAGGCATTTCAGCACTGAATACATGCAACCAAGTTACACAGGAAGAACCAGGATTCTCAGCTACTGCTTGTATGTTCTTTTTTTTTTTTAATTTTTTAAAGAGATTAAGACAAGGAGCACATAACCAAGCAGATCAAAACAGAACAATGTAAGTAACACAGTATTTCACCACAAGACAATCGTAATTAACAGTAGCTACCATAATGTCTCTTTCTTTGAAATAGTTGAGCATAACTTCATATACAATAGTATCAAACATTACAAAATAGTGTAAAACCATTCAAGAGAATGAAAGTATTACAGGGCCTTCAGAACCAAGTAACTGAAAATGAACAATGGCTACTATATATTGTCTCATTTTCCATAGAAAATTTGTTTATACTATTTTTAACTGATTCTTACAGGGCTTGTTTTTTTGTGGGTACTCTTGTCTTTCAGGCGTACCTAGATGAGCTGGTAGAGCTTCACAGAAGGTTAATGACGCTACGGGAAAGACACATTCTGCAGCAGGTGAGCAGTCCTTTAGCAAACTTGTCCCAGAAACCTCTAGGTCTAGTCTGTCCTTGGTTTCATAGTAGCACTTGGAGGTCATGCAACCCTGTATGAGCAGAATGGGGCTTATGACACCTGCAGAAATACCGGGGAGGAGTCTCATTTCTGAGGCCACCCAGTAATAATGCTCTGGAGCAATGTGGTGATTATCTGCCTCCCCCAGTGCCACAGATAATGAAAACTGAGCACTCTTGGAGGTGATACTAGAACTGGTGATCCCTCAGCCAGCTGATACTGTGAGGCAGGCTGAGGGAAGGGACAGTAGGGAAGCAGAAACCTTTGGGACCAAGCTTCTGGTTTCATGAGAAAACAGTGATAAGAATTTGAGTCAAGTGCTGTATGTATTAGTGATTCAATTATGTAACCTTTTGTCAATGCTATTCTAAGGAAAAGAAATATTTTCTTCATTTCTCTTATCTTGTACAGTGTACATTCTATTATTGTGAACTCAATTGTGGAATGCTTATAGAATGAGAAAACTTCTAGTAGTATAAAGTGGTGTTTTGAGAAGATAAGGGTGGCTTTTTAATTCTTGTACAGTTACAGTACATGCTTTTATTGCATTTAACAGTGGCTATTGATAAAACTGCTTTTCACTAACTCCCAAGATGGCTGTATGTTCCAAATTCCAAAGTTTTGGAGAAAGTTTCACTTCTTGAATTTTTTTATTCCTTTTAAGTGACTTAAAATTAGTCTTAATCTAGCCCAGCTGTGTGAATCATTCTTAATGTTTAATGATTGATGGTCACATTTATATTCTGTGTACATTTTTTCCCAGATCTGTAAATATACACTCCCAAACATACCAGGTTTCCAGTCTGGACTGATAAGATTTTAAACATTCTAGAGTTGTAGTTTTGAACAAAAGACTTTTGACTACAGACCTAAGATTCGTAATTGTGACTAAGTTGCATGGCTTACATTTCCTTTCAAGAGATACAGGTGTGGGAGCAGGATTTGAGGAACTTCACCCCAGCTAAAGCTCCTACTTTGCTGCAATGGTCATCTCTTGACATCCACAGAGCAGGGTGCTAGGCCCCTTACAGATACCGAATTCCATGATGCTCAGCCGCCTTAATATTTTTGCCTGTAACCTGTGCTTACCTTCCATTTTTTAAATTTTTAGGTAACTTATATTATCTAATGCAATGTAAATCTTTGTAGATCATTGTTAGATTTTAGTGTTTAGTGTGCCTGACATAAATAATGACAAGGAAAAAAATTTGTACATGTTCAGTCCAACCCAGTATTTTGTACTTACCTTCAAGCAGCAGTTGATTAAATCTGAGGATGCAGAACCTGCAGATACAAAGGAACAAGCACAGTTTTCTTCAGCTTTCTTTTAAAGAAACAAAAGTTGTTCTGCCTCTCATTCACTGGTTATTCAGGGCTAATCGAAGATTGTAAGTAGATCTATTAGCAGATCTTCCTACCACTTCCCAAACCCCAGCTCTAAATCACAGGGGAACGGTTGCCCAATAAAGCATTAATGCCTAAGCTGAGCCTAAATTGTGAGCATCACAGAAGGGTGAGACACATGTTTGGGCAGTTGGAACACCTTCACAACAAAAGCAGAGCCAGTGAGTTGTGGAGAGCAGAACACAGAACAGGGTCTTACCTTGGATATCATTAGCATTCATTACCATTAGCAATTTAATATTGTCCTTTATTTTGACCTTTGAAAGAACTGTGAGGCAAGGTGGCTTCCTTGAGAATTCCATCCAAGTGGATTATTTTAGTATTCTAGGGGGAGAGAGTAATATCTATGAATTTTTAACCTGGTATAAAGGCACTCCAGGGCACACAGCATTTCACCCTAATTGCATTCCCAGGCCGATAGAAAGCTCTCAGTCTTTGGCCTTTTGCCTTGCAATGCAGCTGAGGCTTGTGATTATGATACCATGATGCATGTCCTGTCACGGTTTACTGCTTAATTAATTCCTATTGTAAAACATAGCACTATTGAGGACTAATGTTATTCTCCACCTTGAGGACTGCTCATCTCATGGAATGCATTCCACAAAGTCCACATATTCTCTGCCATGCAGACCTGAACACCAGAAGCAAAATGTCTGCAGGGCCCAGGACAGCATCCTTGGTCCTTTTCTGTTAAATGCATCTCTGTTCAAAAATCTGCTCTGAAAATTGTATGTGGCTCACAAAAAGTAGTAGCATTGTTTTACTCTCGGGGCATGCTTTCCTGGCTGTCAGTTTCTAGCTGAATGAACAGAAAGCAGTGGCTCAAGTGAAGCTGAGCTTCAAAGTCACTTTTTCATAAGCAAGAGAAGTGCGTACCTAGAACTGATTAATTGTTTGATTCCACATGTTCCATAGTTATTTGCAAAGTAAGGTTGAGTGTTTCTAACCTCCCCAGCAGGGAGTCTGGATCTACATCCTACTCTGAAAGAAAAACAATGCTGAGAATAACTAGGGTTTCTTTAGAGAACAGTTTATCAAGTTAGATACCCACTATTATTCTTTTAGACATCATCAAGGATTGAGGAATGAATAACGTGGAACATTCCTCCTAAACAGCACCAAGAGCTCTCCCAGAAAAATGTTCTGCTGTAAATGATTCTTTCATCCTGGAATGACCTGTCATGTCCTGGCCTCCCCTGTGCATTGTAGCCTATGACAGGCCTTCCCACACGGGAGGCATGAGTTTTCATGTGGTAGATAAGTTTCCTAGCCCACACACAAGACTGTTCTACCAGGCTGACTCTACTCTAGGTAGAAGCAGTTAAACTGAATCTCATTCAAGATCTGTTATCCAGTATAACTTTGAATGGAAAAAACCTCTGGTATTCTAAAATATAGTCAGACTAAAAATAATGAATCTACTTTTTTATAATTAAAAACCAAGATTGAAGGAGGGAGCCACAGATTAACAAGTGGATCTTCTCCTTATCAAAACAACCAGCAGCCCATGCAGTACCCCTTAAAAGGCTGATGTGAAAGGAAATAATCCATCATGAGTGTTTCTATCATTAACCACCCTCTGCAGAATGAGTTAAACCGTGTACACATCCTCCTTTTCTACTACCATATGTACACCGTACACTTATGTACTTTATTTTTTCCTAAAATTCAGAGAGTTTTTTAAAAATATATTACCAGGCTTTATCAAAGGAAAGAATTAACAATTTAGTTTAAAGATCCCACTTGGCTCTTGATTCTAAAATGCAATTCTTCATTCCATAAAATAGAATATTCTGATGGCTACATGGAAGAGGTGCCTTTCATATACAGAGAAGGCTGAAAACCTAAAACCAGAAACAGAGCAAAAAGAAGACTGGTGACTTCCAAGTTCCTTTCCTAATAAGATGAAGGACAGGGAGGCAAAACAATAGAAAAATAACTTATTGGTTACCACCAAGTTACTCCTGCTTTCTTTTTATAAAGATCTTAGGATACAAAGATTACAGCAGACAGAAGATCATTGTCACTTTACAAGCTTTTCATCTGCAGTTTCTCTGTCTTTTATTATTTCAGATGAACACTGATTGCAAGTGGGTGTTTTTAGGCTTTGTGGCCGGTATCATCGGAATAAAGCGTGTTAATATTGTGTTTCTGATGTTCTAGCTATCAGAATTTCTGGAAGGGGATGTGCATTTATTTTTTTCCTTAATGCTCTTTTACTTAATTGAGGATGTGGGTACATCCTCTAATTCAAGTCACTAATGCTGCTCCCTTTGGCAAGTAGTCCCACGCTCCCCAACTTGTGACACTATTCCTGCTTCAAGACCGTGTCTCTATTACCTTGATGTGTTCTTACAAATTCTCATAAAAAGGCAGGGCTCCTTTAGTTAGATTTATCAGATCACTTTTATATCTCTTCCATCTGTGGCTGCAGGCAGGGTAGGCCTGCTGGTGGTGGAGTAAGTGGGAGACTGGGTTGGAAGCCCTGGAAACCTACAAGATGGTACTGGGCAGATGAGATGGCGAGGTTGGATTTCCTACTGGGCATTTAATTTGCTTTAAAATGGGTTTTTTCTAGAGAAAACTTTCATTGCCCAATTTCTATTTATTGTTAAAGTAAGTAGTGCGCAGCTATCCTGAGTCATAGAAAGTTACTTTCTTAAAAGGTTAAGTTCACTGTCATTTTGAAAAAGGGAAATGTAGGGCTCTATTTCTGTTACTCCAAATTTCAGGCTCAAGCTGTTATTTCCAGTCTCACCTTCCTCTGTTCTGCTTCTTCCCTTCTCTTTGAAAATTTTTATTATAATTATTAAAAAAGAATTCAGGCAGGTCTTTTTGGAGTTCCAGTCTCTGTATTTTCTTACTTCACTTGCTTTAATGCTAATGAAATAGCTAACAGTCATTATGATCAGGAAGAAGCTCCACCAGATCTGATAATCCACCAGGTCTGATAATCCATGTGCTGTGTAGTTATCTCTAGTAATTAAGGGTAAATTTATATTTACAGTATATGGTAATTATAATCCTGGTGCCCTGATCTATATAGTGATTTATAATTTATCAAGAGGCTTTATATGTCTTATTTGATCTGCTGCATTACCTTATATGGTAAGTAGTGTGTAGATATTATTCTCATTTTACAGATAAAGAAACTGAGGCTCAAATGTTATAGTCCAGTGCAGTCCAAATAGTGAGCAGAGTCAACATTTGGTATACCAAATTCAGGGCTCTATTCTGAATGCTTTGTCACTTGCCTCCTGCCAGCTAGCTGGGGAGATGAGTCAAACTCTGTTCCGCTTGGTATTTTCTCTGTTGTATAAATTTGAAATTATAGTTACAAGAGAAAAAAGTTTAAGTTGTTCTGTTTTTCAACATGACATTAAATAATTTAAAACTTCACTGGATTAATCATAGAGTAAATCATTAAAATTATTTTTAGGATTACGGAAACTAAAGAGATTGAGAAACAAGTGATAGAAATGGAATAACAAAGGAAAATAAGAAGTGGAAGTTTGTGAAGTGTCCACCCTCTGCAAGTTTTGTCCGAGGCTGACTGTCCTCCCTCTCTCACAAAGCTCACTAAAATTAGTCCTCAGCTCTCTTCCATGCCCACAGCACACCAACTCCAAATCATACTGCCAGGTGCAGCATCCATTTTTGATAGACTCTTTGTAACAGAGGAAAGGAAAGACACTTTGTACAATGAAAAAATCTGTCCAGCCAGTAACCAGTATCATTCTTAACATTGAAATTTCAATCGTTTTCTCCCAATAGCCAGGGAAAGAGAACAGTACCCCTCACTATTACCATTTAGCCTGTCACTTTTCTGTAGGTTGAAGTCAATGCAATAAGAAATGAAGTTTATTCCAAATGAAGAGACAATAGATACTTTTCTTTTTCAATAGATAAAATATGTCTCCCCAAAATACTCAAGAGAAACAACATGGCATTAAATAATCTAATGCCATTTTAATGAACAGAACACTAAGTAATAAATAAAAATGTTCACATTTATTTTTGTGGAAGTTTAGCAAGACACATAGCTGGATGAGTGTTCACAAAGTGAATGCAGCTTTGTAGCTACATTTTGTAGCACTCAGCTCCAATTAACAGTCCTAGTGTCCCCAAGGCTGCCAGAAGCCCCAAAAGTCTCATCTGCGTCCTCAGGAGGGATTACAGATGGTCTCTATTTCATTCCTGTGTGTATGTGTCTTCCTGTATTCTAAATTTTCAGTAATTATATAATCAGCGAGATGATCATTATTTTTTCATAAGCTTATATTCTGTTTTAGAAGGAGTTTTGGTATTTCTAGGCTGGTGTTTCCTTACACTATTAAATATAGTCACTGTCTGTTGAATCAGTAACTAATTTTTTAAAAGGATCTTAAAATTTTAATCTCCTAACTACCTAAGGAAAACATTCTGTCGATGATTTCAAAGCAGCAATTTTGTAAAAGAGAAGAATACCCTAGACACGGGAAAACAAGAGAAAAGGAGAAGGGTATAAAAAATAATTAAGAGGAAATGTATACATGTACTGACTCCCTATGATGAGTATAATCATTATGCACTACAAATATGCGCTAATTTAATAGTAAAAAAGATTGTAAAAAGAAAGCATGAGTTGGTTTATAAGGTATGCAAAGTGGGAACTGATAAGCTGTCCTCTTTGGGGATTTATCAATGACTTTTCCTTCGATGTGGCAGATTAAGTAAGAGACAGTTTTATGCTATCGATACTACTGGACCTTTTTGCTAGAAGTGATATTTATCACTTGGTTCCATACTTGACCTCTTCATCTCTTTTTGCCTGTTGATGGCTTTTGTTGCTTATTGCGTATTGCCCAAATTTTCTCCTTTATTCTTTCAGATTGTGAACCTTATAGAAGAAACTGGACACTTTCATATCACAAACACAACATTTGATTTTGATCTTTGCTCACTGGACAAAACCACAGTCCGTAAACTACAGAGTTACCTGGAAACATCTGGAACATCCTGAGGATACAACTGGATGCATCAAAAACTATTGTTTTGGGGTTTTATTTTTTGGTTGTGATTTTTTGTTGTTGTTTATATGAAAACACTCAGAATGATGCAACCAAAAGGGAAAAAAATAAAATTCAAACAACTTTCAGCTTTATTTTTCTTTGAAGCCAGTCATCATCTCTTGATAAAGGAGAGGTCAAGCCAACCAGCCTCAGCGGACCACTCTTCTCTCCAAGGAAATCCCCGGGAAGAGTTAGCCTGGATAGCCTTGAAAACAAACAAAGCAAACAAAACACAAGAACACTTAAAGAATGTGTATGGTATCATGTCTTTCTCTCTCTCTGTGGTGGTTCATTCCACAGGACGAATGCATATTCAACACACTGCCTTATTACATAACTGATCTATTTATTATCACATACAGATATTCTGAAATCTTTGAGGGAATGACACCACCAGACGTTAGAATACCCGGTCCTGCGGATGCTCTATCAATGCAGCGCCCTTGCCATCCCAAGCCCAGTGACCTTACTCTATACCGTGCCACTCTCCGCCAACTTTTTCCAAGTCCTTTAACTTGTTGCAGTCTGTATCTTCCATCTTTTGTTTTTCTAGGTCCAGACACAAATTATCAACTTGGGGGAGGGAGGACCAAATAGCCACCTTGATTTTCTTCTTCGTTGTGGTCTTTTTTGTTTTTTTCCTGAAAGTTGGGGCCCAGTCTTTGGCTGTCTCCATGTAATGATCTCGGACCATGGTAGAAAATGCACCAAATAGGATCACATGAATTGCTGTCTAGCCTTAGTCAATAAACCTGTAGGACTTTTAATGAAAGTGTACCTGTAAATGTCCTGAATCCAGCATTGTTCAGCTGTCTCAACATCCTGGTGTCTGTTTTACTGTTACAATATTAGGTAAAATGGAAGAAAAAGCATTCCACAGGATCATCGTTTTAAAACAAAGGAATTCCAATTCTGTTTTCTAAAGAAAAGTAGAAATTGATTCAGATCTATTTATTAATAAGAGTTTCAGATCTCTGCAGCTGCCAGTGTGGAACCCATCTTTACCTTAAAACCAGGAATCAGAGGTTTTTGTTTGTTCAGATTTGATTCTGTTAAACTCTTTTGTACTCAAAACATTAAAATCTTTGTTTGAGGATAATTCTTGGTTTCTCTGCCATCACAGACTATGTATTAACTTGTAGATTCAGTGGTTCGATACCTGTTAGTCACTTGCTGATGTTTCCATAAGGATTTCCTGTATTGGTGAAAGTAAGCTGATTGAGGAGGGGGAAATATTTTTGTTCTTACTGTACCCTTGTTTTCACACTGAAATCTGTCCTGTGGCATGCAATACAAAGCAAATTATTTTTAAAAGCAAAAGATAACCAAAGTACTTTTGGTGTCATTATTCTACCCTCTCCACACAAGGAGAAAGGAAAGGAAAAGTCAGAACAGCTCATCTTCCAAGTTTTTCTAGGAACTCAACTGGAAAGAAAAGAAATGAAATACTTCTGGATCCAAATGTTCATCACTGGATCGGCCTTAAGAAAGTCTGTCTCTCTGTACTAATTGACCAGCATCTCTCTCATGTGTTCCCATGCCAGATGCTGGCCTTTTATTCAGAGATTAGTGTCTGTACAGAAAATGGTCCTTCCAGACCCATTCTTTTGGGTAGTAATGTAAATGCAGATTGCTAATGAAGTGATTTCTGCATTTTAAAAAAGGGGATTTTTTACACTGTTTCTTTCTATTCAAAGAAACTATTTTTTTCCTTTAAAAGATTATAATACAGCCATGCTCCTTGTAAATTACTTCTCTGAAGTGTCCTCCCAGAGGACAAGTGTACATTTTCAAGAATGTTATGATTCTTTATGATGATTGGCATGAACCGTACTTGAAACACTTGTTGTATAGTCAATTTCTTAATGTGCAATTACAGAGATACTTTCCTTTATTTTGGACATCAGGTGACTGATGAATTGTGTGGTTTTAGTTGTGTTTTGATTTTCAACTTTACAGGTGAAAGGGGAAGGCACTGTTTGTATGAAAATGTTTGCAAAATTCAAACCTCATTTAAATTTTCTAATTGCTAATCCACATATTCTTATTAAACCAGAAATTTATGTGGTTTAACTAATATATCTCTGTAGTTTAACTAGAATCATGTATATGTAGTTGGGCTATTTTTATTTTTGTAACTAAATTGTATGGCAAACCTATGATTTGGAATTAAGAATTATTATTTTGTTCCCTAAATTACTAACCAAGAAACCAAGTCAGGTATGAAATGTCCCTTCCCCAACCCCCAAAAAAAGAAAAGCAAAAAACAGAAGGGCAGCTACTACAATGATAAACTTTAGACATGAAAATTTTACAGTAATGCAAAGGTCTTCAGAATACCGTAAGATCTGGAGGTTGATATCAAAATTGAGAAAAACTTCCCAATCTATTTCCCACCCAGCTAGTAAAATTAATTTCCCATAAAATTCTGATAGCATAAAAGTCATGTTGGTGTTTTTGATGCAGTGATACCCTGTCTCTTGCCATCTAATCTTTAAATACACAGGTAATAAACCCCCCTTCAATTAATCTCAAGGAGTTATAATATTTCTTTTAAAAGTACCCTCCTCAGTTCTGCCACATTTGTGTACACTCAGCTTTGAAACCTGTTAAGAATTCTTTTTTTTTTTTTTTTTTTTTACACATATACACTGACAGTGGCTTTGGTTTTTTTAAGCACAAAGGGGAAATGGCAGGGTTTAATTTCTTTGGTGTGTGTGTATATATATATAAATAGGTGTTTCAAATAAAATTAATTGAGTGAATGTGAATATGGTTTGAACCAGCCAGAGTATGATAAACTGTCTAAATTTCTCCCATGTGATTTGAGGGGGAAAATATATGTATAGAGCTCCCCTTGCCTTATAATTAGCTTTTGCATCAGTTTTGCAGCAGGATACATTTGAAAGGGAATCCTAGTTTAGGATATACCAGTCATTAGCAACAAAAATGTTTGCAGCTATTTCATACCTTCACCACGATCTGCCCCTTGTTAGGTAGACAAATATATCTGTCCATCGGTGTTTGCATATTTCACAGTAAGCAAGAACATAAAAACTGGATCAGGAGACAACTTTAGGAAAAAAACTTCATAAGAGAATGTCATAAACATTTAAAAATTGCTGAGCAAATCTCTGAATAATGACATAATTTTGTGTGGAAGGGGCCAATAAAATTGGTTTTCATCCATTAAAATGTTTTCCACAAAAAAAATTTTTGCTGATATCTTTTACAAACCCACCTAATTGTTTAAAATAACTTAAGCCTATATAACACCCCATTTACGATTTTAAGCCCCACAAGTGTAGTTAACATACTTGTTTAAGTGAGACTTCACTCTTTCATGTTTTAACTCTACCTATTTAATGGAGTTGGATGTTCAGTGTTGGAAATGGTCAATGTCCGTGTTGGTGGCTTGTGTTTATTTTTCTCACTGTGGAAATGATCAACTCTGGAGTAATTTGCTGTATGCTTATTACTTTCCACCTTTAGTTTTTTGTGTACTAATGCTATGTACTGCTCCTATATTTATATATATCTATATATACAGAAACATATATATTATCAAAGTACTCTTGCTTTGGACTGTTGTTCTAAAACTTTGACTATGATGTAGAGACTACTACAGCTGCAGTGAATGTTGAGGTGTCAGTTCCCGTGATTTAGGTTAGTCTTGGGCTGAAAGTCTACATCTTTTGACCTCTTCTGTTTTATATGATGCTTTTTATTATGTAGGCACTGCCACCCCTGAATATTCCTTGTAAAGATGCATTGAAGAAGTCGATTCAAAAGGAAGACAAAGCCACCATTGTCTGTAAACTGTAAATATGTATTTTGGCACTTGTACTCCAGTATTCTGAAAACAGAGTAATGATGGAAATGCTGACAGACCCTTAATGGTGGCCAGCGCTACCATGCAGTGCGAAAATAAATTAAGTAAAAATGTATTCTCGAGATTAACAGTGCAAGGCCAATACGTTTTATAAATCTGTCAGTATCTTTTTAATGGAGTGTGTATGTGTAGTTATGTTGAAAGATACTCTGTGTATGTGTGTGTGTACATTCTTTTATGTGAACTACAAAGCACACATAAGATGTATTTCCCATCTCGAAAAATCATGTTGAAATGAAGATACAGATCGACAGAAATATGCTTTTTACTTAAATCCATACCTAATCTGTTATGGCTCCATTTTTTTTTTTTTTTAACAAGGTGTAGTCTTACTGATTTGTTTGACCACTTTGGCTTCATTTTGAATACAGGAAAAATAAGCTTTTAGCTTTTTCTCCTGAAGAGATACTGTTTCTAAAGAAGAGGGGAGGGAAAGATCCCAGGCTTCTGGAGGTAGGACAGTGTACCTCAAACCGGCTGAGAGCGGCGTCCCTGCTTCCTGCATCTCTGGGTTCCCTGTATTAGCATCATTTCTATACCTAAGTCAGTGTTTTTGGAAAGCACTAAATGGATTGAGCAAGAAATGGTGAGACACATTATTCTTGGAATGTGCTGGGATATTTGTGCATGATACGTTTTAACTTAGTCCTTTGGAAGATTTTGATCATAAACTAAACAATGTGCTACAGCTAGTTACTTAATCTTACCAAGGTCCAGCAATTGCCTCAGCACCAGGAAATGCTACCTTGATTAGAAAGGAAGGAGGAAGACAACTACAACAAAGAGAATAACATACCTTGAGTTTGGCAAACAACCAAGGAATTGGATGTGATTTTCCAGTTAATAGTAAGGAAGCTTGCATTGAATTGGAGAAACTGTCTTTATCTTCATTGTAACAAGACACTTTCAGGATGACAGTGAGCTGCCTTTTCTCTCAGCAGCTAGAAACTGACCCGAGGTGTGGATGCATCCGTCCCAGACGGGCTAGAGTGGCAGTGAGTCTTTCCAGTGACTGCACTTGAATTGTCCTAACCTTTTCTCTTGTTTCAGCAAAGACACTCACTGGTTTATTTGAAGTCATGATCTTGCATCTTCCCACTGTGGAGAAGAATCCAATTAGGCATTGTGGATCTGCTGATGACACCTTGGGATACCATCCCAAGACATTCTCCCTGGCAGTGTGCTCCACCACGTAGTTTTTCCTCAGTGCATTAGTTCCGCTGTCTCAGAGTAATGTCCCCACTTGGGTATGTGAGGAAACCCTGAAAGGGATGGCAGATCAAGGCTCAGTGTACAGATCTTCCCAGTTGGTAATTCAGAGACAAACTGTCCCAAACTAGTGCTCTTGTTTCTTTCTGATTAGTGGAGCAGTTATGGGTATTTTACTGGTTTCCTTGGCTAGAATACCACCCAAATACAAAATACCGAGCACATTTCAATGTTTATGTTTTCTCTGCCAGGTAATAGTATCCACACCTTCCTGTTTATGTGGTCCCCTTCTTTAAAGGCATTTCCAGTCTTTTCCAAAGGTTGTTAAATTTCCCTTGGCTCTTAGCTTTGCCTCTTGGTCTTAATTTCTCCTTAATTAAAGAATGGTAACCAGTATGGTTCCCAAGAGCTGGCTAGGCAAACACAAGGCATAAACTAAAATCTGCCAGTAATTATAACTGGGCCCTATGGCTATTAAATAACAGCAGAAACAAGTCGTCCCCTGAATGGTAAGGCTCCCTGAGTCCACTTTTATAATAATAGGGTGATTATTGGGGCCCTGGGCGATCTGCACAGCATAGGTGGTTATGAGCAGTTGGAGACGGAAGGGCAGGATGGACAAAGCGCTGGCTCATTCTCCCCGCGCGCTATCATATCTCCTACCAGGTGCCGCCCCCACCACAGACTTCTGAAGTTTCAGAAGGGTAGAAAAGGATAAATCCAGGCCATTAAAAGAAAATAACCAAAGCTATTGAAAAGATAAAACAAATGAGTCTCTCTAAAAGGGCCGTCTGTGCAAGTAATAAGGTTGAAATACTGATGCTGATCTCCTAGCCGAGCAGCATTCCTCACACATGTGGTTTGTGTATCCGTGTCTGGTGGGTGGTCTGGGAGAAGGGCTAAACACAGCAAGATGGCTTAGTTTCTGAGCAGCGAAGGGAAGCGTGGAGACAGGCTCCGCCTGTTGCATCTGCAATCCCTGCAACATAAAGAGGCTTTCCCTCTGCTTTGTTCCAGAAGGGAAAGTTTTATCTTATGTATTCTTTTAACTGTGAGTCTCTATTCTGCACAGAATCCATCAAAGGGTGGGTAGCAGTACATGCGTGCGTGTGTGTGTGTGTGCGTGTGTGTGTGTGAATCTGTTTAAGAACCTCCTTGGCCTCATCCCAGTCTTAGAGGTGGGATGTGACATAGAATATAAAAACCATTATCCATTGGTTCTGATATATCCTTTGGGCCCAAGACATCTTTTGAAAACAGCTGTCTTAACACCTCAATCCAAGTAAGAGAGGAAACAGCATGAAATTATATATAGACACTAAGTAAGATGCCAAATGAAGTAATTCAGTTGAAGCTGGTGACTTTCAGGGGAGCTGTCATTTGGAAAACAAGATACCCAGTGACAGCTTTTGACAGATGTGAATCACACCAGCTCACAAAGACCGCTTGCTTCATGACTGTGCCTCCATACTCTTGGATTCTAAGGTTTTCATTTGAACTCTCAACTACTGGGTAGTTAGATCATTATTTTCTAAACTATATTTGTTGTTTGCAGGTTTAATCTCTTCCTCTCCCCCTGAAACCCAAGTATATTGAGGGCTGAGACATTGTCATTCATGGCTGATATTCTGGGACATACAAGAATCCCAGACAGACTGAGTTTCTGCTGTTTGTCACATGAAAATGTGGGAGCATTTTGTGGAATATCAAGTCTTGATATTTCATTTTTTTAAAAAGTTTTGTATTTTAAGTTTGGAAAAACTGCTCAGTCTGTTCAGTTTGTGACTTTCTGGGAAACTGATATGCTACTCTGTTAGGTCCCTGGAAATCCATATATTTTGACAGTCATGGAACTTGTTAACATGAATGCAGTGTTTCTAAAATTGTCCATAACATGATTTGTGTAGGTTAACAAAGATATTTTGCTTTTAAGAAAAAACCCTTAATCAAAATAGTTTTATAATATATTCTTTAAGGTTTACAACGCAGCTTGCAATGGTCAAGGTTCAGAGAAGCTATTGATATCCTCAGAGGAGATTTTCTTGTTCAGGTAACCATTTTTAACCTACTGTCCAAGCTGGATTCATGTGTGTGGAGGGAGTACTGAGACTTAAGTCCAAGAGTACTCCATCTCTAGCCTTTTTTAAACTTTGCAACAGGGCCTCACTAAATTCCCCAGACCAGCCTTGAATTTATGATTCTCCTGCCTCAGCCTCCCAAATAGCTGGAAAAATAGGTATGCACCACCACACCCCACCACTTGAGTGTTTTTAAGAATAAAGTAGGCCACTAACACTAATTCCAAGGTAACACAAGTAAACCATAGTTGTCTTTGACAAACAAGCACACGGTCACCCTAGTTTCAAGGAAAACACTTTGTGACATGCTGAACCAAAAATACCCTATTAGATTTTTCTATCACTTTGGCATGTATGTGATAAAAGATTTACTTGGGCTTTGTAGGGAAGAAAATAATAACTTTTTTACTTAATCTAAAATTCCTGGCTGAAATCCCTGTAATAAAGACTAACAAAAGAAAAGCATGACGAATTTACTTACCAGGTTTTTTTGGTTTTTTTTTTTTTTCTGAGACATTCTTGCTATGCAGTTCAGGCTGGCCTTGAGCTCACTTTATAGCCCAGGCTGGTCTCAAACTTGCAATGATCCTTGTGCCTCAGCTTCCTGAGTGCTGAGATTACAGGAGTGAGCCACCACACCCAGCTACTTACCAGTTTTTATGTGACATGAGAGCCTTCAGCAATGACCCACAGACCTAGTTAAAACTATATTTTTATGCCTAAATTTATGGAGAATGGACAGTTATGTAGAAGTGCAGTGGGACAAAAGTGTGTGTTTGACCTAACGACAATAAACTCACATTCTTCTTGTCTTCCAGCACACGGCAGGCCCCTCAGGAATGAGGGTGTTATAATTTATTTTAGTATTGATTATGACTTGCTTCATGGAAAATGGTAAAGGGAGAGTCAAAGTGACCTTTTTTGCTTCTGCTATTTCTCAATTTCCTTCAGTTTGGAATACTTGGTATGCCACAGGCATGTTTGGAGGGTATCATTCTAAGCTCCAATAGCTGCCTTTTTTTAGTGAGAGAAAATGTCCCCCAACAGTAGAGGCAACCCTCAGAGTTCCAGGTTGAAAGGGCATTTCAGTGCTGCCGAGGAGCTGTGGTGGTTGACAGTCTCTAGCAATCCCGTGCTTCACCCTGTGTTAGCCTGCTATTTGGAAAAGTGAATGGAGCCTTCCATATGCGAGGAAGATTCATTATTTATTTTGCTTTCCAGAGCCTGATGCCTGTAGAGTTTGTAAAGATTTTCTTCTCGAATGGCACCTTTTCGTGAGCTGTCGCCTCTTTGTTGTTACCTGTTAAAAGTCACTTCTGTTGCTGCTGTTTCCTGGCAGTTAATATCTCCCCTGAACATCACTGGGGTTATTTGGTTGGCACATTCTGGAATTTTGTTGCTCTGTATTCTGTCTCCTGACACCCTTTGAGATTTTAGTGATTCCTACTTGCATGGGGATAATTCTATTGTAGAACAAATGCTCAAAGTATATTGAACCAATGAACAAATGTCTGTAAATAGATGTTTTCTTGGCTTGCAAGTAAAGTTGCTACACTGATGACATTTGCTGCTCCCTCTTTCCCCCAAATTAGGCTTTTTATTTTGCTATTACATTAAAGCTAATAGAAATGCTGACAAAAATCACAGGCACCGGAATAAGAAAAACTTGGTTTTGAATCCCAGATCTGCCATTCCAAGCCATTAACTAAACTCTCCTGTGTCTTGGTTTTCTTATTTATGAGATGGGATGGGCAATGAACCTCTGTTTTAAGGTG